TTTAAAAGAAAAAAAAACTTACTCAATTCTGATTTCCAACGGCACAGTTGGCATGAACGGTGAAATCGGTACATAGAGAGTGTAGAGACCACGTGGAGGCTTACAGCTATCACCTGTACAATAGCGACCATCTATTGTAACATTGAAATCCAGTATTTCGATGGTTACACCCGATGCTAACGGTGAGAAAATTGCTCGTTTTCCAGGCGATCTCGCTCGATTTTTGGAATTTTGCTGCATTTTCAAGGATGGATGGTGCTGCGACAGCGCGAAAACTGTTTGATCACCCTGAAAACTCATAAATGACGTTAAAAATGGATAAAAAATCAAAATTTGAATCTCCTCTATAGTCACTCTCTGCGAGAACCGGAAGCACTCGAAAGTAGCCTAAATGATAGCGAGTGCCAACAGCAACTACCCATTGACAAGACTACCAACAGCTTTCAATTTCAAGAGTTGCTTAAAAGCAGTCTAACAGCAGGTATGAAACATGATCAGTACCAGTTTGCCATCGAAACGAATGAATGAACTATACAGGGACTGGCTGAATCGCTGGCGGAATCGAATTTTTACAATAATAAACCAAAAAACGATAATTTGTGTGCGTCCGAGAAAATCAAAAATTGCATATGAAGGCACCAAAAGAAATCAATCCAAGGCAAGCTATTTAAGAATTACGCAGAGGCTTTCCTTCCCTCTCTCTTGCTCCATAACCCTCAGGGCATTTTCCCTCACGTTCCACCCTTCTCTTTTCCTATTACGAATTAGCAACCCCTCCTCTCACTCCCCTCCTTTATTAGGGGTTAGCAACAATGACAAACTAAGTAGGATCTGTGTATTTGAAAGTTAGTAGTTGAAGAGAAGGTCATGTAAGAAAGAAAGAAAGAAAAAAAAAAAGGAAAAAAGGAAAAGGGGAAAACGGAAAAGGAAAATTTATTAATTTTTTTAAAAATCTTGCAAAAAAATATTTTTTAAAAATGCTAAGAAATGTTTCGGTCCATTAAGTTGTACACATTTCTTACCGTTACTACAATTGGATCTCGTCAGTACGACGACTGTGGTAACGAAATTAATTAAGGTACTTCAAATTAAGAGGAGGTAGTTAAAACATTTTTGATAAAAAATCTGTTAAAAAGATAACATAAAAGAAAAAAAATAAACCTTTTCAGAATTTACTGGGTCACTCGAGAGGCTGTACTGATCACGTCCCTCGCAGCAGTACATATGACAATGCATATGATCACATGAAGCGCTCAGCGGTGGCGCATTTGGTTGTATTGGCGGTACCCAGGCACTGGTTTTCACCTGTACAATGTGGCCTATTTTACTGGCTTGCTCCGTTGTTGGCCCAACTGTGGTGCTACTTTCCAGTGCGTACGGTCGCTTTTGGTAGCCAAATGTCCGATTATGCCAATCGAGCACATAGAGCGTTGACATTGCTATTAAACTAAAAGAAAAAAAAAATTCATTTAATACCATAGAAAATAAAAATGTCAAAAAAATTATTAAAAAAAAGTGCAAATTATCAAAAACTGGAGAAGTTTCACCAACTTTTTTTTGAAAATAACGTGGAAATTTTGAACATTTTACATCATCAGAAACAAAAAAAGTCAAAAAAACTTCTAGAAAAAAATGAAAATTATCAAAAACTTGAAAAGCATTACAAATTTTTTTTCGGAAAATAACGTAAAAAATTTGGACATTTTCGATTTATCACAATCTTTTCTTATTAAAAGTTATCACAATCTTTTCTTAAAGTTAGCAGATGTCACGCGCTGGTAAGTGATGCCCGCAAGAAAGTAAAAAGCCATTTGTATAGCTCTTGAAAAAGTTGTCTATATACATCGGAAAGGCACTATAGTGCAGAAGGACCTGGCACAGCTGTGTCCGTCCGGTGTGCGAAAGCATTCCAGTAACATCACTAACATAAGATAGTCATACTGAGATTACT